CAAAATTTTGCGAACAGTGCTGTTCATGAACCAAATTGTTCGTGAACAGAAGCGTTTGTGAACTGAGGTATTACTGTACTCTCTCCTTGAATTTCCCTCTCACAACAGTCATGTGAAGTAGATTGCACTGAAAGAGAGTGGTGATTTGAAATACAACTAAATCTGAGTTGGATCACTACAACACAGTATCTAGGATATTTACGGGAATCCTGAGAATTACACTGGTACCATTCCGCTTAGTGCAGTTGCCCAAACTGCGCAGGAAAGACAGCGACTTGCCTAATGTGCCATTAGGAAACATGATGACATCATAGAAACTCATATCCAATTAGATTTGGCTAGATGATATTGACAGCGAATGCCTTCTGTTGTTGGAATGGTTTTATGAAACAAAAGAAGATGTCCCCCTTGGCATGTGTCACTGTCAATTTCATTGACAGGTCACATTCAGAATTGTCAGGAAAGATTTTTGTCCCAAACGAACTTCAGTCACATGTAAATTTTGCACAACCAATTAGGTAAAATATCCATGAGAACAGATTTGAAATATGGTTGAATAGGTATCCCGTATGGACTCTGCACCACTTAGTTAACAAGACAAGGTGACGGAGGGAGGGGGAGATAGATCTTTCAGACAAAACAAGCAGAAAATGTGTCATTTGTCAACAACTATGGGATTACAGCCTTATATGTAGAATATCACCTGTTATATAAAATACTATCCAAGCATTATATCTCTATGAAATACATTCTTCACTGGATGATAATATTACATTTAGAATGAAGTGTCAGTGTATACTGTCAATTGTCTGGTTTTGCCAGAATGAAAATATTATTTTCAAGCATGCTGAAATGCTGCTCTTTATGAAGAAGCAATTTATTATTCAGTTTGTTAGATTAGTATCCTGACTTTTCTCCATGAACTCAGAGGCACTTATCTGAAGTTCTCCCTTTGTTTTATTCATGCAACAGCAGTCTTACAAAGTCAGCTGGGCTGAGGGAGATTAACCCAATGAGTTTCCTGTGACTGAAGTTGGACTTGAATCTGGGTATCCCAGGACCTAGACTAACCCCTTAACCACCACACTACACAGGGTCTCAGTGCAGAAGGGGACTTAAAATCAAGATGAAAGATTATTGGTTAAGGTTTTGTAGTGCAAAAATAGGTGAACCAAATGTTCTTCTTACTGCGCAGGGGAATCCACATAGCATATCTCTGTTCCTTAAAGCTGCAGAGCCATTCTGGAGGAAATTTTGGTGTGTTATACCAAAATTTTGGTATGTTGTTCAAGTCCAGTGTGTTGTACAGTCCTTTTATCTTGCTTTGTCCAAGTTTCAGATGGATGACAATAATTACAGATATAGAAAGAATAAAATAAATAATACCTACCTACTGTTGAACGGTAGAACACCGACAGGTGCTGTTAGTGAAAAATGTTTCGTGTCACTACTACTATGAGTCCAAAGAGCAGAAAAACCTGTATACTGGATGATAAATGGAAGTTAAACATATTCCTGCTTGGCATCTCTAATCAAGTTCATTTTCATTATCCATCATTATACATATATCCACCATATTATTTGCTCTCACGATAAGGATTGTTATGCAGAAAAGTACAAATGAAATAGGAGAACCAGACAAATTAAGGCATGTGTTAAGAAAAGGCCATGATATAGAAATTGCCTTCGTGTAGAAAAGCTATTTGTTTATTTACTGAATTTATATGGCTACCCATCTCACAAATGCTACTCTAGGTAGCTAACAATACACCAAGAACAGTACAAAAAAACAATAGCAGGAAAAGCATAAAAACCTACAATAATCTCAGTAAACACTCAACAGTAACAATAACATCTCATGGGCCATTTAACTGCCTGATCTCCATGCCCTGGAGTACATCCAGGCCTTTGTGCTTTGTGAAAGGCCAAGAGGGTCAGAGCCAATCTAATCTTGGGGGTATGGTGTTCCAGAGAGCAAGTGCTGCAACAGAAAAAGCCTGACTGATAAATGTTTATTTGAGAGAGATGTCTTTTTAGGACTACCAGTCTTAAAAAAGGTGCTGGAGCACTTTCTCTTGAAAAAGCTGTCTCTTCAGTCTTATTTAAGAACTGTCGTCCTGTCTCCAGCATCCTTTTTGGGAAAAGGTTGTAGTGGTGTTGGTAGGAGCTCATCTCCAGAGAATTTTAGATGAAGTGGCTTATCTAGGTCATTTCTGATCAGGATTCAGTCTGGATTGAGAATGTGTTGCTCTGGTGGATGACCTACATATGGTGAGACCCTGATGATGGGAGGGCACTCATTTTTGTCTTATTAGATCTCTTAACAGCTCTTGATAACATCAACCATAGTATCTCAGACCACCTATGAGAATTAGGAGTTGGAGGCATTATTTTATAGTAGTTCTACTCCAGCCTTAGTGAAAAATTTCAGTCAGTGGTGTGGGAGGAATGGTGGAACTGATTAATTTTCCAGCATGGTGTATCTAGGGCTCAGCATTCTATGCACTACTCTTTAACATCTGTATGAAACTGCTGGTGGAGATCATCCTCTAGTTTCATCCCTGGAAGCTTACTGGCAGTCAGTGGAAATGTTTCATTTACACCTGTTCTGCGGTTGCTACACTGGCTGCCGGTAAGCTTTCATGTCCAATTCAAAGTGCTGCTGTTGACCTGTAAAACCCTACATAGTTTAGCTTCAAATACCTTAGGGTGGAGACTGCCTGGTTCTTGAATATGGATAGGGACAGGATGTTGAGGATCTCATCCCTATGTGATTTTAGGGGGGTATAGAGTTGAACCTGACTTGATGGCACATAATAAAAATCAATCCTCTTGGCACCCTCACTTCTACCTTTCTGCATGTTGTTGAAAATGTTTTTCTTCTGAGTGTACATACATTCAGGGTTTAGTAAGTTAGCTGATTGGGTGGGTGGCTATATAGATGTATATGTGTGTGTATGTGTGTGTGTGTTAAACCACGAGAAGTTACGATTGAGCTGGGAAATATAAACATACTGAAAAGAAACAAATGATTAACTTGAAGTGTGCAAATTCAGAAATGTCATTAATCTACTGTTTTATGTTTAACTGTCTGTCCATGAATGGTGGTGGGGAAATTTGATTTTTTTCCCTTCTAACTCTCCGGTTATTTTAATCTATTTTAAATGATTAAAAGAGGCAGTTAAGTGTGTGCATTGCACTTTCCATTCCCGGCAGTATAGATTTTCTTCCTTTTTTCCTTCTCTTTTCTGAGTTCAGCATGACTCATTCCATCAGCCTTGATTTTTTTTTTTTTTTTTTGTTGACGCTATCCTCCTTTTCTTTCCATGTTTTATTAATGGCTGAGCCTCTGGGAAGACCACTTAGTCCAATAAGTTTTAGGGCTATGCATCATCTCATCTCATCTCATCCGGGAGACTTATTCAGTGACTCAAAGACCAGTGATCTGCGTGTGTCACGTAAGCAGTAGACAGTATCCGATTTTGCAGAGTGGTGGCAGAGAGACTCAGTCACCTCCTCAGAAATAGCCCTCTCTAAGGCAGGGTTGCACTGTGGAAGTCTCAAAGGAAGGGACTGGCTCTGTTGTGCACAATCACAGTTGACCTCTCTTTCACACATTGAGACAAACCTCAATCCTGTTAAGGATTTTTATTATCCAATTCTTTCCTTCATGTCAAAGA